GAAGATTGTTTTTAATTCTAGCTAGAAGCGTTAACTCTGGTGACTATTAACTCGGGTGGAAATAACTTTCAGTGACGCATTGGAAGTACTGTCTAGATGCTCAAGAACCATAAATTGTTTTAAGAATCTGAAAAAGAGATGTACATTTAATTCTAAAGACTACAGTACTAATGAAACAACATCTTTTAATTTATTTTTGCCTAGTTTGATCTAGTTTGTTGTGTTTTTATACATGATAGATGATATAGCAAACTAATGCACATTTTTAGTTTTTCTTTTGCTTTAGTCTTAAACTGAGTAATATAGATGTTCTAGCATATTATTAGTAAAGCTTGGATTTTTTTGTTTACCTGGAGAAAAATGTGTGTTGTATTATATGTGATGATGCACCACACTATCTGTACCTCCCTCTTCAAAATCCTAGATCCACACATGCATATGTCCTTACGGTTTGGTGATCAGTTACTGTAATCTCTCCAGCAACCTGAGGACTTGTCTGCACTAGTGGCTTCTGGCACTGAGGGGCATGAACACACCCCAGCTAGGCCTACTTACACGCTTCAGGCCCAGAAGTTTGCCAGCAAAGCTGCTCTGGACTCATCCCCAGCAGATAAACTCAGGTACTTTGGAGACCGAGGTCTTGAGAGTGGGTGCAGAAGGATGAGCATGAAGTATCCTCATTGGCATTCTTCCAGGTTTGGAGCTTGCCTGTGGATGGGCAGGGTATGAAGGTGTGTGCCAGGGCCTCTGTCCCAGGCCCTGCTGCCTCTTGTGATGTAGACAAGCCCTAGGAGACATGGCAGAGTTCTTCATTTCTTCTTCCATTTCCTTCATGTGTGTTTTCCCTTTCCCCTTTTTCTGCTTCCCCCACACCTACTTCTTATATCCACTCCACAGGTTCGTTTCACATTCCTGTTTTGAGAAATCCTCTGGGGCTCTGCCGGCTGCTTCTGTCAAGGTAGAACCAGCGCATTTCTGTTTGATACCTTTCATTAACTATGATGAAGGAATCGGCCTGCTTTGCAGCCAGTGTTGTGGTGTTCCCTGCATTCCTACTGCAGGTATGTGCAGACATGTAGATGTACAATTATATATCATTTCTTTTCAATACCAGCCCTTGTGCCTTGGTGGTGGAAGGGTGTTGAGCAGTTTGAGCTGTGGCTCTGTTGGACGGGGTCATTTGTGCAGTGGGTTCTCTAGGATACCATTTCTCAACCTGTGGGTTGAGACCCAAAAGTGGGTTGCAAGCAGGGGCAACGTGTAGGGGGTGCACGCAGGTGCATGTGTACCCTCTGAGCGTGGTGGTGCACCCCCTACAAAAAGTGTTGAGGGTCAACACTGGGGAGCTGGGGCATGGGACAGCGGCTCCAGTGAGGGGCACTGGGTCGGGACTGGCCATTCATGTTTACGAATGGGTCCTGGCACCCAGCCTGCCCGCTAGGGCATGGAGTTATGCACATGTGCTCCTACACATATGCACACCTGCTGCTGCACACACACACACACACACACACACACACCTACACCTGCTATTGCGCACGTGCCTACACACACAGTTTCTGCACAGAAATACAGGGATCTGCTACTGCATGCATGCATACACCCACCTGCTATTGCACACATGCCTGCACACGTACACACCTGCTATTGCACATGCACCTGCACACACACATGTGCATGTGCGTGCATTTCTGCACAGAAACACAGGCACCTGGTACTGTGCACACATACCTACACACCTATTGCATACATGCTTGCACATACACATGCCTGCTATTGCACATGCACCTGCACACCCCCCCCCTACTTCTGCTAAGAAACACAGGCACCTGCTATTGCACACATGCCTGCACATACACACACCTGCTACTGCACATGTGCCTACACACACACACACACGTGCACGTGCAGAGAAACACAGGCACCTGCTTACAACACACACACCTACACGCCTGCTATTGCACACGTTTGCACCTACACACACCTGCTATTGCACATGCACCTGCACGCGCACACACCCCTCCACCTGCTTCTGCTGAGAAACACAAGCACCTCCTTACTATACACCCCCTGCTATTTCACACGCACCACCCCCCGCGCGTGCAACCCCCCTCCCCGTGCCCCAGGGGCACACGCACGCCTG